GTTTCAACCATTTCAAGAGGTAGCATATGATCAAGAGCCAATGATAACAAGGATGGGTAACTTAGACATTGGCTACCCAAAATGGGAGGCGGGGGGGCGGCTACAAAGGCAAGAAGTGACTGGCTTACAAGCTTTCAATAGGGAATCTAGTTCCAAAGGGTAGGGGTAAAGGTAGAATCTCCACTGAGGTGTTTCCAACCTGTCTGGATGGGGCTGATAAAAGGTGATGGGGATAAGACTCTTGTGGTTCAACAGGGAATGATTGCAATCATGACTGACTGTGAGGGTTGGAAAGGTAAAAGGTAGACGTTTTATAACAAAAGGAGGGGAGTGGTTGATTTTGCAGTCCAGGAGCGGAGGTCCCTGGGACCATCAAGGGAGAAGAGCGGAGTGTGGGACCCTATCCAGAGAAGCAGTGATGCCAGGGATGGAGGCAGAGACGATGACATGGAGAGAAAGAGTGGCTTGGGACTCTAGACTCAGGGAGGGAGAGGGCCTGTGTGCTGTCGGCCGGGGGGCAGGCACACAAGAAGTACCCTTTGGTTGGTGGTTGATGCATGCAGGGGATCGGATCGTAATCATTGCCATGAAACAAAATACGATAGGATGAATGTAAAGATAATGTTCTCCCATGTAAACTATCACATAATTCACAATAAAAACTTATTTTTATTAAAAAAAAGTCAATATGGAAGGAAGAAAAGTCGAAGGTGCATTGAAGGCATTGGCAAAGAGCAAGCTCAGGAAATTGATGGAATACAAATTGAAATCTTTCAACCAACTAATGAAGCACTGGAGGGATTCATTCATCTATGCCAAGAAATTTGGAAGACAAACTACCTGACCAACAACCCAGAGGATATCCATATTTGTGCCCATTCCAAAGAAAGGTGACCTGACAATGTGGAAGTCATTGGACAATATTAAAATCTCAGACAAGTAAAGTTTTACTAAAGATAATACAAAAATGGTTGCAACCATACATTGACAGAGAACTTCCAGAGGTTTATGCTGGATTCAGACAAGGGCATGGAATGAGGGATGTCATTACTGATGTCAGATGGATTGTGGCTGAAAGCAGAGAATACCAGAATGATGTTTCCCTGTGCTTTATTGACTACGCAAAGACTTTTGATTGTGTGGCTCATGACAAGCTATGGACAACATTGCAGAGAATGAGTAATCCAGACAATTGTGCTCATGAGGAACCTGTACACAGACCAAGAGGCAGTTGTTTGGAACAGATTAAGGGAATACTGAATGGTTAAAATTAGCCAGGGTTGTATTCTTTCACCATACTTATTCAGTCTGTATGCTTAGCAAATAATTTAAGAAGCTGGATTATATGAAGAAAAATGTGGCTTCAAGTTTGGAGAAAGATTTATTAATCTGTGATATGCAGATATTACAAGCTTGCTTGCTGAAAGTGAAGAACACTTAAAATACTTTCTGATGAAGATCAAAGACCATAGCCTTCTGTATGGGTTGCATCTCTATATAAAGAAGACAAAAATCCTCAGCACTGAATAGACAGCATTGATATAAATGGAGAAAAGATTGAAGTTGTCAATGACTTCATTTTACTTGGATCAACCATCAACACTCAAACAGCAATCAAGAAATCAAACGATGTATTCCATTAGACATAATCTCATCCTGTTTCTTGATGGCATATATGGTCTATATGCCAAAACCTCCAGATTTTTATCCCCAGTGTAGGCTTCCTTCTCAAACTCCAAACTGTTTTTGACATATCCACTGAAATATCTAATAGGTATCTCACATCTACTGAGTGTTGTGTTGTAGGATGATCACTGGACTGCTAACCATATGATCATTAGTTGAAACTCACAAACCACTTCCTGGAAGCCCTCCATATACAAGGTCACTATGAGTTGGAGTCGACTCAATGGCATTCAACAACAACATGTCCAAAATTGGAATTGAACTTCCAATTTCCACTGATCTTCAGATACTACAGTGGGTTGGATAGTGTTCCCCCAAAACTTATGTGTTTCCTGGAACCTCAGAATGTGCCCTTATTTGGTGTCATTTTAGATATAACATAAAAGACATACTGGGATTGTTAAGTGCCGTTGAGTCAGTTCCAACTCATAGCGATCATTTATAGTGTTTCCTAGGCTTTAAACCTTCCCAGAAGCAGAAAGCCTCATCTTTCTTCAGTGGAGCGACTGGCAGGTTTAAACTGCAGACTTTGTGGTTTACAGTCCAGTGCTTATCGTATGTAGCCACCATGTAACAATTGGGCCTTTAATCCAATACAGCTGGACTGGTGTTCTCATTATAAGGAAAGTGTTGCAGAAACAGATGGACACAGAAGGAAGACAGCCTTGTAAAGATGGAAGCAGGAATTGGAGTTACACTACCACAAGCCAGAAGCTAGAAGAGGAAATTAAGGGGCACCTTCTAGGGGATCTAGAGGGAACATGGCCCTACCAACACCTTAATTTTTTAATTTTGGCTTCCAGAACTGTGAAAGAATATATTTCTGTTGTTTTAAGCCACCTACTTTGTGGTACTTATGCCAGTCCTAGAAAACTAAGTAAGCTGATAACCCTGGCCCAAATCTCAGTCATTTAACACAGTAAGGATTTTGAACTCACAGTTGGCTGTTAGGTGTCCTGCCATGCGGGTATCTGAGCTACTTTCCATCTAGTAGCTCCACCATTGTCTAGGGCTTCAGTGTCCACTGCGTCTTGTGCATCCAGAGAAGTGGAAAGAAAGAATGGAAACTAAACTCTCTTCCAAGACTTCTTGGAGGCTAGGCCTCCCACTTTCCAAGCTCAGTGCCATGTCCCAGTGTCGACATGTCCGAAGGGGCCTGGGAACTGTTGAAAACAGGGTGCTCAGTAGGAAGAGGAGCAGCATGAATATCGTGGTGCCACAAGAAGGTTGTCTTTGTTTTGTTTTTAACTTTGTAAATTACTTCTCTGAAGTATATAATAAACTCTTCCTTTAAATTCTAGCCACATTTGCATTTGTTCTGACTGTTCTCTCCGACTTCATTCGCTCAATAAATGTTTGTTAGGTACACTATATGTCAAGTACTGTGAATCTCAGCATCTCACACTCTAACCAAGAGGCAGATGGGAATTCAAGTGCTATGCTCATTATATACCCGCTGTGGGGTCACAGAGGTGGATTATTTCTGCTCAGGGAGTGAGGGAAAGCTTTGCAGAGAAAATGACATTTGACCTATGACTTTATTAATAAGAGTTTATAGACGAAGGAGCTGGGTTAGGAGTGATGACAGAGGAGCTTCTATATTCCAGGCATTTTGGGAAGAAAGAGCATTAGTGAAGTCATGATAGGGAGAATGCCCCCCCTCACCCCACCCCCACTGAAGCCACATGGCGGCTCGTGACGGGCTGCTAACCTAGAGCTTGACTGTCACAGCCATGGGAGAAGATGTAGTGAACTGCTTCCATTAAACTTATAGCCAAGAAACCTGTGGAGCAGTCTACTCTGTAACACAAGGAGTCATTGTGAGTTGGAATTGGTAACACTGGGGGTTTTGTCATGCCATTGAGTGTAGCTGGAACTTGCATGGAAAAGATTGACTTAAGCTAAGCTAAGGGGATATGACAGGTGAGTTGTGAAAGTACTTATGGTGCAAAGAATGGGAAGGGAGTGGAGGTGTTGAGATATTTTAGACTTAGCATCAAGGTAGTTTGGGGAGTGAAGCAAGGAAGAATGAGGGAGAATGAAAAGCTAACAGTGATTGATCAAAATGCTACAGAGAAATTTGCTTTTGTTCTATAGTTTTTTCCCCACATGTATGGCTTATCACCTCAAGCAACTGAAAGGCCCTACCTTAGAGTCAAAGAGTGTAGTGCAGTGTAGGTTTTCGTCCAAAACAGCATAGAAGGAGTCTGAATAAATGATCATTTTGAAGTCACCTTAGTCAAATGTTTCATAACTTCTATCAGTATCTTTTCATTTATCCAAACAAATTCCTAATTACAAGAAGTGCTGTGGTTATTAACTTAGAGGTCCAAGAAGACGCAAGCACCTGAGTCACTGGGAATGTGCTGAGGAGGCAGACAAAGACATTCTTAATTGGCGGCATTTCATTTGTGGGCCTGGCAATTTGATGGACTTCTAAGTTTTAAGAAAATTGCTAACCCCCAGGGAATTGTCCTAGAATAAAAGAAAACCATTTTCACATAGAGTGCATCACAGAAGGAAACTCCACAGTTTGTTATCACTTTGTTGTTTCAAGAAATGTATAATATTGTAGAGCCCAGGAACAAACAAAAGGAAGGACTCTTCAGCAGTTTTATGAGTTTGGATTTTCCTTTTAGCATTTGCTGTCCTATTGTCTGTTTCCCCTGTTTTTTCCTCCATTATCAGTAACTAGGAAGACGCTCTGCTGACAGAGTTGGAAAGACCGCCTGCCTGTCTTCGCCTGTTTCCTCCTGACCCATTACCAATTGACATCCAAATTTGTTACATCCTCCACAGCTAGTGTTGTTGTTGTTAACTACTTCCATCATGTTTGTTTTTTTTTAATTCCCTCTTTTTGAATAGAGCCTTGGTGGCACTGTAGGACAAGCACTGAACTGACCATAGGTTTGCAGTTCAAACCTAGCAGCCACTCTGTGAGAAAGATGAGGCTTTGTGCTCCCATAAAGACTTACAGTCTGAGAAACCCTAAACAGGGTCCCTGTGAGCTGGAATCAGTTCAATAGCAGTGGATTCGGCTTTTGTTTTTTCCACTATGTTCCTGACAAAATCCAGAGACATACAAAGTACCACTAAACCATACATTTATTGCCTCTCCCACCCCATTTATCACAAATAACAAAGCATTTTTTATAGATCAAATTTTAAATAGTTTTCTTCCAACGTTGGGTGAAGAGAAGAGAAAACACTGTCCAGCTACAGATAAGAGGGTATTCAAGGAAAGGTTTCCATTGGTGCAGGATTCTTTAGCAAATGCGTTAACTGGAGAAATAGCTGAGAATCGGCACCTCCGTTCACTCTTTCTTTTCCACTTGGTGTGTAAGGCCTCCAAACCCAATGCCTGTAGGGCCAAAGTTTTTGGCATAGCAAACTGATGGATAAGGGGAGAGAGAATAAATGAATTAGCATCATCATTTCAGAGCCTTCTGTGTGGGCATCTCTTTGATAAATTAGAAGCCCAGTTGGCTTGAGGATGAGGTGCTACACTGCTAACCTAAAGGTTGGCCTTTGAACCCTATCCAGCTGGTCCACTGGACAAAAGACATGCAGTCTGCCTCTGTAAAGATGACAGACTAGAAACTTTATGGGACAGTTCTACTCTGTCATATTGGGTCACTATGAGTCAGAAGTGACTCAATGGCATACAATAACAATGTGTATGCATTAGCTTTCAAAAAAAAAAAGGCACTATATTTTAAATCTGCTATTAAAAGTTTGTTATTCTTTGCATTTTACTAAGTGTATCTAGACATTTTGTCGTTTGAGTTGGCATAATCTGGCCTTTGATGGCCTACCCGGCTTTGTCTTCTACTGCTTCCTGTCTCCCTCCCAGCACCAGGCACACAGAACTACTTGTCATTCCTGGGATGTGCCATGATATCCAAGCTTTGGTGTCTTTGTACTCAAGGCTGTCTTCTCTCAAACCTACCTTCACCCTGGAGCACCCAGAAGAAGCATCTCTTCTTAGAAGATTGTGTTTCTTTGTTTGTATGCTTCTGCACTGGGAAGCTTCCTCTAACTTTCCTATTTTGAAATGCAGCCATTTTTTTCCATGTTGCTCTCCTTAATGGCCACACAACATTTTAGGGTGGATGTGTATATGGCCTACTATGAACGTATCCACTACCTGGTAGGCGTAGTAGGTATCACCTGTCAGGTAGGTGGGAAGTTCTATTCATGGAAAACACATTGACAATCTACAATGTTGATTAATAATGTCCTCCCTCTTGCCCTCCCATTCCATTCTAACACACATGTTTGAGGATCTAGAGACAAGATACACCAAGTGAAAGGTTGGGAGGATCCCACTTAGCAATAGAGTAGACCAAGGTTGAGGAAATGTGACCTTGGCTGTGGACATGCCTGCCTTTTGGCAGTGGCAGAAAGGAGCTAAGCATCTACTACCTCTCCAGAAGGAATTAATGGAGGCAAACAGGAGCAGAATTGTGAGGGCCAGAAGGAAGACCAAGTTGTCAGTGAGGACCCTCTGATCACTAAGAGATGGCGCCACCAGCAACAAAAGTAGAAGAAAGGAAGGGATGGAGCAGCAGAAGAAAAAGACACAGGTCTTGATAAACTCAAGTGAGGCCAAACTGAGTTCATTCTCCCTGATAAGCCTTATCTGCCACCCAGGTAGATGGAGGGTGTTTGGGTTTTTTAAAGAGACTGCGATGCTATTTGTGCATGTTTAAGGCCTCTTCTAGGGCCAGAACCAGGTCATGCCTCCTCCTTTTCCTCTCTTCCTTCAGGCATCCAGCTTACTGGAACCACTAAGCTGTTCCTAACATCTGATCCTCCAGGTTCTCCAAAGGACAGGACGAGAACTGGGTCAGGTGGGAAATTTCTTTCCCTTCAATGGTTTTGTTCCCTATCCTGAGAACCCAAACCCTGCCCAGGCGTTGCAGCCATGCTTCATGGCAGATACCAGGCAAGTCTCTAGACCTGGAGTCAGCTTGCCCACCCAAGGGCCCTCCCCAGGAAAATGTATCTTGAGAGGCTCTGGCACCAAACTCACCTTTGCAATAAAGCTCCCCATCTTTGTCTGTGACGTTCGTGGACTCTAAACTCTTCCCACAGATGGCACAGCGGAAACAGGTCTTGTGCCAAGGCTGAGGAACACAAGAAAATCACATACTTAATGGAACCAGCAGCATGTTTGTTTCCATTTTAAGTCCCTGACCAGCAAATATAAAGGAAAGCCACCGTGTCTTAACCGTTCACTCACCTAATCAGCTCCAGGTATAACTTTTTCTAGGATTCTGAAGATGCTATGTACTTGGTCATCTAATCTCAGAATGCTTTCAAAATGAATTTGCCCTCATGATTTCCCTATATGCATTCCATTCTGTTGTTGTAAGGGCCATCAAGTTGGTTCTGACTCATAGCATCCCGGTATAGGGTTTCTGAGAAGCAGCAGGTGGATTTGAACTGCCTACCTTGTTGTTTTTACCCTACAATGCCACACCAGGACTCCATGTATCCCTTTAAAGCAGAATAAATAAAAATGAGCTTCTCCAAGCCTAAAAAATCTGAGGAACAAACTGGACAGAGGGTATCGATCAGTGGCTAACATTTACAATTAACAACAACAACAACAAAAAGAGTTAAGTTAATTGCCCAGATAATTCAACCTTGTTTTATCTCTGTGTTTCTGACATGAGTTCTATCGTTTGAGTCATGTGGAAGATTGTTGGTTTCTGTATATTTTTGTGTCTACCAGAAACAGCTTTGGAGTTCGTCTTCAAATGAATGGCCCATCTAGGGTTGAGCCTGCCCTTATATTTGAAGTAGACAGTCTCCATGACCTTCCCTCCCCCAATTTATTACCTAGAGGATTTCTCTTTCCATGGCCCTTAATCCTTTGGTGAGGACCCTAGCTTCAGGACTGAGACCAGAGCTGGTAGAAAAGTCTGCATTACTGTCTCAGATATTTGTAAGTCAGGACCTCTCATTGCTGGGAGATGTTTGTAACATTCATCTGTTTTGATGCTCACAGCAGGTTTGGTCATGCAGTGGTGAAAACTTCCTGGAAGGACAGGGGGACTTGTGCACCTTTGTGTTGCCCAGACCTCCTGGCTGGGTGCCTTTCGCCTTGACAGTTAATGCTGGTTGCATCCAATTTCAGTGGTTCTAGGAATAAGCACTGGACTGATAACCTCAAGGTCGACTGTTCAAATGCACCAGCCACTCTCGGACCCTACATAGAGTCATTCCAAGTCAGAATTGACTCGATCACAGCTTCCCAAGGGTGCTACAGCATGGCACCCACAGACCAGGATGTGGGAGCTAAGGAGAATGAAGGGGCCGGGTTCCATCCACCCATCCATCCTACTTTCTTCTCTTAGTGCCCCTGACTGGTGAAGATGAGCAAATCCCATTTGGTTCCTATACTTGTCCTTACCTTGCCACCTCCCATGACCTTCTCAGCAGCATAGACTGACTTCCCACATCGAGGGCACTTCTCGGACTCCCCAAACTTTGCAGTAAACTTGGAAGGGTTGCTGCTGGTAGCTGAGCGAGCTGCCTTCGGAGACCTGGTGGAAACAGACAGGTGAACAATGTGTCAACCTCCTTTGGCTCAGCTGGTAGCTGAGCGAGCTGCCTTCGGAGACCTGGTGGAAACAGACAGGTGAACAATGTGTCAACCTCCTTTGGCAAAGAGTATCAGCTGTATGACCTTTAGTGAGCTTCTTAACTTCTCTGTGCTTCCATTTTTCTTCATTCAGGAACTAGAGATAACCTAGAGATAACCTGGTTACCTGCCGGATGGAGTTGAGAAGATTTAAATGAGGTGCCATATGTAAAATTTGAACAGCACCTGCTGGGATGTGGTAAGGGCTTAATCAATGTTAATATAATTGGTTTAAATCTTTCTTTTCTCTTGTGATGCACTTAGCAAGTGCTCTGTGTATGATTCTCTATATTGCTGTCGTGTTATTATTAGTGCTGTGACTTGCTTAGGGTTTCCCAGACTGTCTTGAAACCTACTGGCTTGCTTTCTGAAGTGAGTTATGGAAATGATTTTATAGGGTAAGGCTGTCCTGATAATAGGATCTTCACACTTGGCACTAATCAGTTCCTGACAAACCGCAGGCATGGCTCAGCTTGTTGCCCTGTACTCAGAGGGCACCTGTTCCCAGCAGAGCACGGTCCCAAATACAATGATGAAATCTCCTTAAGTTTCCATGTCTTTTGGCATTTCTTTGTATATTCACCATTGTTAAATGCTGACAAGTCGGTTCTGACAAATGGCATGTAGGTTTAAACCCCCAACCTTGTGGTTAGCAATCCAGTGCTTATCCTACAGCACCATACAAGGACTCCTCACTAAAGCCCTATAAAGTAGGCAGGGCTAGTTTAAGGGAAGCCTAGGTCCAAGAGGTCATTGCCTAAAGTCAGGCAGCTCAGAACTGGTGCGGCAGGATTGAAGCCCCTCATCTTTAGACTCATTACTCTTTCTACAGAGTCACAGGAAAAAGCCTAGCCTAGAAAAGTGAGCTTTGGGTAATGAGACGCAGACACAGCAATCAATGCCATCTTTTCTTCTTTAATCAGTCTCCAGCTTGGGCTGAGTCATGAGAAAAACTAATGAGAAGAACTGTCTTCCTTCAAATGACTAATTGCACTTCTCTCCATTTTTCCAGGCCTTTCCATGGGTAGGAGTCCTGGTGTGATAGCCAGCCACTCCTCAGAAACACTATACAGAGTCTTTATGAGTCAGAACTGATTCGATGGCACTAACAACAACCATGAGTACAGAGTCCCTGGGTGGTAAGCACAAGCTAGCACTTAGCTTCTACCTGAAAGGTTGGTGGTCCAGAGCCATTCAGAGTTGCTTTGGAAGAAAAGTCTAACAATTGTTCACAAGGTCACAGTCATTGAAAACCCTATGGACACAGTTCTCATCTAGGGGGTGGTCATGAGTCAGGGTTGATCCAACAACAACTGGGTTGGCTTTCTGGTATTAATAGGAAGATGCGGGATCAGATGGTCTCACTGTAGTCTGGGAAGGTCCTCCGTGGGATGCTTCCTCAGGAGGCCTTGGTCTCTGTGAACAGCTCCATCACAGAGCTTTCTTCCTTCAGGAGCTGGGCCCACAAACCAGGTGGTCAGACAGCAACTTCAGGCCAGAAACAATCAATCATCGCCTCTGGGCTGAGGTTGGCGAGATCATTAAGAAAGTGGCTAGGGACTAGCAGATGGAGATGGCACATTATGGTATCCCAGCTTCCTGTTCCTGGGTTGGGGTGGGGTGGAGTGGACCTCAGCGCTAGACTGACTGACAACAGGCAGCACAACCAATGTGTCATAACTGGTTGTTTACTTCTGAGGTACAGCCTTTCCTCTCAGACCCATCCACCCTGCACTGTGGACAGTAGTCAGCCTACAACCCTAGGGAAGACATCTGCTAGACAAGCACAGAGAAAATGGTCATTGCTTCTCCACCATATTTATGTGATTTACACAGAAACTCTCAAAGGGGAAGAAAAGATGCTCCTTGTAGTGTCGCAAAGGTCAGACAATGGAACATTGGTACATTCTGGGTTTCCTCTTGACACGCAAACCAAAAGCCATGGTGTAAAAGTAATTGCCCTTTAGAAAGGCAGATAATTTAAAGAGAGTCTTCAGAGAGATGATACAGTGTTAAAACTTGGTCAGATTGAGTATTCCTATTGTTGGCAAGTCAACAATAGAGCCCATTCTCCCACTTCCAGAACACGTTGCTATGGGAACGGAATGAATTGTCCTGATAATTGGAGACTCTAGCAGGGAGGGAGGAAATGGGGCAGTAACTCACTCTTGGAACTGGAGGCCCAGGTGCTCGCCTGTGTCAGTGCTGAGGCAGCCGGCGCCTTGTCCAAATCCAATCCCCTTGGGTCCGTACCTGCGTCCATAGCAGACCTTACAGTAGATCTCCGATTCATGGGCTGCTACCGTGGTGCTGTCGAGAGCCTTCCTGCAGGCCACTACCAAGAAAGAAAGGGTCATAGGCTTGAGACTGAGACTTCTCCCTCCTTCCCTGCACCCCCAATGCCATGTTTGGGGCCAAGAGACCCAGCACAAGAAAGCCTCCATCCAAGAATACAACTTCCATTCTTAACTAGAGCATGTCTGAGTCATATGACTCCAAGATGGTCTTGATCACACTGATGAGGAAACTGGAGCACACAGAGGGGAAGTAATGGTTTCAATGGTACCCAGCTAGAAAGGGGTGGGGTCCAGGTCTGGAACAAGGTGTGTGATCTCAACCAGCTAAGAACAATATCCCTGAATTGGACAACCTAATTCTTAAGTGTTTCACCTCAGATGGCATCAGGAGAGGATGTGTGTACTGGGGTCTAAGGCAGTAGAAGAAGCTGTTTGCTTTCTTAATTATATACGAATCAGGGCTAAGCAGTTCCAAAGGCTTTTCATGGTCTTTGAGAAACAATTGTGCTATTGAAAGAGACAAATAGTCACAGAGGCCAGTTGGAAGCAATGTGGGGATGCGAGGGGATGTGGGATGCTAGTGCTGAGGGAAAGCTGCCTCATAGACCCTTAGATTATACTGGTTCAAGAACCCTGGGCTACTGTACAATGTTGTTGTTAAATGCCATTGAGTTTGTTATGACTCATAGTGAGGAGCAACTGGTGAGTTTGAACCCCCAACCTTGTGGTTCAACCCAAACTTGTAGTCCTGCACTACCCTTACAGCGCCACACCAGGACTCCAAATAGAAAGTATTCACAAATATAAGATAATTCCCCATTTTTCCCAACAGAAGATTTGTAAAAAGATTTTTACTTTTACAAACTTAAAATTTTAGGAATGTGACCGAAAGTATCAAATATCTACTTATAATACTCAATGAATAGTTAAATTAATTATATTGATTAGAACATTTTTTTTCCCCTTCTACTCTCACAAAAATTCAGAAAACCAGTTCTTTTGTGTCTTCAACATCAGCATCTTCCCATCATCAAAGTCACTTTTGGTGGCAGCTGACCCAGCTTCCCAGAGCAGCTCTTTGTCCTCTCTGCCTGTGTAATTTCAGAGGCAGCCTGATTTCCATCTGAGGAGGAGGCTGCCCTCTGGAAATCACATCTCAACAAGAAGTACCTATTAGCACCACATTAGGGCAGTTTTGAAAAAAATATATGATTTCTCCAACTTAATAACTTTTTGTAATTTCTTTGTAAAGGTACTCTTGAAAGGTCATTTATTGTAACACCCAGTGCTTATAATAGTAAAGTCAGAGCCTCAGGAATAATAGCAAATTTGCATTCAATATAGTTGAAAACTTTTTTTTTTTTTTTTTAAACTAATAGTTCTATCAAGTGACTGCTATAAACAATCTTAACCAGCACTGAGTGAGGTTGTTTCAGGTTAATATATCTTCCTCAAGTGGTATTTTGTTTTGGGGAAAAGAAAGCAATTGAATATGATGATGGGAGAAAAAGAAGCTAGGATTGCCCAGGAATTGATGTTGGTTTGGCTAGATGAGCATGTTTTATGTGTATTTAAAAAGTTAAATAAAGTAATTGAAAAAATGTCTTATAATCAGAGAGGCTTTGTAAGGCTTTGGATTCAAAGGAAACCCCTATTTACAAGAGACAATTTTGAGGGGAAACCTACTTTATAATGTTGCTGTTTTTAAGCGCTGTTGAGTCGGTTCCAACTCATAGCAACTTCATATTGGGTTTCCCAGGAGCTGCTGGTGGGCTTGAACTGTCGACCTTTCAGTCAGCAGTCCAGTGTTGATCCTACATTATATTTGAACATCCACCATTTCTACCCTTCTTGCTGGGAGCCCTGCTGGCACAGTGGATAGGATCTCCCTTCTTATTGCTATCAGTTACTATTTTGAATTGAATCGTATCTCCCCCAAAAGATGTGTTGATGTACCAACTCCTTGTACCCTACTTGGTCATAGAGACTTTTGTTATGTTAATGAGGCAGGATAGTCCTAAACCTAATCACTTCAGATTGGTGTTTTATCAAAAGAAAAACAGCACCAAGAGACACACACAAAGGGGGAGACAGGTGCCTGGAAGGACTACCAACAAGGAAGTCCCCTCCCCTGGAGCCCATGCCTGATTTGGACTGTGAGAAACTGTGAGAAACTAAATTACGGCTCTTAAAAACCACCCACGTGTGGCTTTTTGTTACGGCAGCACTGGGAAATGAAGGCAGCTCCCAACCTCTAGTTCTACTCCTCACAGATTTATTGATGTTCTAGATCCTGATATCTTGAGCACAGAGCCATTTCATCTTAAAATCCCCAATCGCAAGTACAGAATCAGTGCTCTGCAAAAATCTGGTGAATGAATAAGTAAATGAAGATCAGTGGCTTGTCCAAGATTGTTGTTGTTGTTGTTGTTGTTGTGTGCCGTGGAGTCGGTTCCGACTCATAGCGACCCTACACAGGGTTTCCGAGGCTGTAAATCTTTACGGGAGCAGTCCGCCTCATCTTTCTCCCGCAGAACCGCTGGTAGTTTCAAACTGCTGACCTTGCGGCTCGACCAGACTAGTAACCACTAAGCTACCAGAGCTCCTTTACATAACAGTAAATCGTAAAGCTCTGCATGGCCTCAGGGTCTTCAGTTCTTGCCTAGGGCTTACTCCCATTGCTCTGAGGCTGACTCTTCCTTTCTAAGCCCTGGACACGTCCATAGCCACTCCCTGGTTTCTAAGCAGCTGTGGTTGGTCACAGGCAAAATGGAATTGTGCTGCCCGATATGGTTGATACCAGCTACACAATGTACTCTCACATATAAAATATACAGCAGGTTTGGAAGGGTTAGTACAAAACAGAAAGACTATAAATGATCTCATAAACAATTTTCTATCGATTACATGTTAAAATGATAATAGTAGTTATATTGGGTAAAATTTAAAAAAATTAAATTAATTCCACCTGTTACTTGTATTTTTTAAAAATATGGCTACTGGAAAAGTTAAATTCCTATAGGTAGTTGGCATTGCATTTCTTTTGGATAGTGTTGGTGTGGCAGGTTAAGTATTTGTCTACAAGTCAGGAGAACACTGAGCAGGGGATAAGCAAAGGTAGACTCTGTCTCCCCGAGTCCTATATCCAGCAAGTACCCATGGGTAGATAAGTCTTGCAGTGTTAATATAGGAAAGCATACCCCTTTCCATGGCCCTTCTGCCCACCACTATCCATACTCTACTGCTCAGACCCTCACCCCATGTGAGTTTCAAACATCTAGGGTTGAAAGGAAGCTTCACCTCTCACCAAATGCTCAAATCCCTTTTCCTGTGGTTCCACGGAACAGAGAATCTTCCAGCTATCCCAGGGAAGAGAAGATGTTATTTGTCATGGAGAGCTTCCCTACGATTTTCCCTTCCAACTTTCAGCTCAAAGTTGATCAAAGAAGTATAAAGGCTTAGAAGTCTGGGATCCCAGTTTGCTCCTTGTAACAACCTTGCTCTATAGGTTGTTGTTATTAGGTGCTGTCGAGTCAGTTTAGACTCACAGTTGACTATGCACGACAGAATGAAACACTGCCCAGTTCTGCATAATCCTCATAATCATCGTTAAGCTTGAGCCCATTGCTGCTGCTACGGTGCCAGTCCATCTCATTAGGGGGTCTTCCTCTTTTTCCCTGAACTCCTACTTTATCAAGCATGATGTCCTTCTCTAAGTACTGGTCCTTCCTGATCATATGTCCAAGGTAGAAGAGATGAAGTCTCACCATCTTAGATTCTAAGGAGCATTCTGACTGTACTTCTTCCAACACAAATTTGTTCTTTATTCTAGCAGTCCATGGTACTTTTAATATTCTGCTTCAACACCATGAATTAAATGTATCAATTCTTCTACAGTATTCCTTATTCATTGTCCAACTTTCACATGCATATGAAGCTATTGAAAACCTTAGTTCTCAAACTGATTTCTTTGCTCTTGAACACATTAAGGAGGTCTTGTGCAGCAGATTTGCCTAATGCAATACATTGTTTGATTTCTTGACTGCTGCTTCTGTGAGTATTGATGGCTGATCCTAGCAAAATGAAGTCTTTGACCACTTAAGTCTTTTCCCACTTATTATAATGTAATTTATTGCTCCAGTGGTGAGGATTTTTGTTTCCTTTACATTGAGGTGCAACCCATACCAAAGGTCATGATCTTTAATCTTCATCAGCAAGTATTTTAAGTCCTCTTCACTTTCAGAAAGCAGGGTTGTATTATATGCATATCATAGATTGTTAATGAGTCTTCCTCCAATACTGATGGCCAGTTCTTTATATAATCCAGAACATTATTTGCTCAGTTTACAGATTGAATAAGGATGATGAAAGAATAGAACCCATGTACACACCTTTCCTGATTTAAAACCATTCGATGTCCCCTTGTTCTGTTCAAATGACAGCCTCTTGGTCTATGTACAGGTTCCTCATGAGCATAATTAAGTGTTCTGCAATAGTCATTCTCCACAATGTTGTCCATAACTTGGGATGATCCACATAGTCAAAAGCCTTTGCAGAGTCAATAAAGCACAGGTAAACATCTTTCTGGTATTCTCTGCTTTCAGTCAAGATCTATCTGATATCAGCAACGATATCCCTCATTCCAGGTCCTTATCTGAATCCAGTTTAAACCTCTGGAAATTTCCTGTTAATTTTTGAGTTACCTTCAGCAGCACTTTATGTTTTATCAATGATGTAGTCCGATGATTTCCACATTCCATTGATTCACCTCTCTTCGGAATGGGCACAAATATGGATCTCTTCTAATCAGTTGGCCAGGTCGCTATCTTCCAAATTTCTCGACGACATAGATGAGGGAGTGCCTCCAGTGCTGCATCAGTTTATTGAAAGATTTCAACTTGTATTCCATTCATTTCCGGAGCCTTGTTATTTGCTGATGCTCCTGGTGGACTTTCTCCTTCTGTACCATTGGCTCTTGATCATGTTCAATCAACCTCTCGAGATGGTTGAACATCAACCATTTCTTTTTGGTATAGTGACTCTGTATTCCTTTCATCTTCTTTTGATGCTTTCTGCATCATTCAATATTTTGCCCATGTTGTTGTTAAGTGCTGTTGAGTTAGTTCCGACATATAGTGACCCTGTACAGGGTTTCCAAGGAACAGCTGGTGAGCTTGTACTGCTGACCTTGCAGATGAAATGACTTTGCAGTCCAATGTATTAATCCACAATGCCACACCAAGACTCCATTTTGCCCACAGAATCCTTCAATATTTCAAGTTGAGGCTTGAGTTTTTTCTTCAGTTTTTTTAGCTTGAGAAATGCTGAATGTGTTCTTCCCTTTTGGTTTTCTAACTCCTGGTCTTTGCACATTTCATTTTAATACTTGAATTTGTCTTCTCAAGCTGCTCTTTAAATTTTTCTGTTGAACTCTTTGCCTCATTTCTTCCATTTGCTTTATCTTCTCTACACCACAGAACAAGTTTCAGAGTCTCTTCTGACATTCATTTTGGGCTTTTCCTTCTTCCTTGTCTTTTAATCTTGTTTTGTACTTTCTTTGTATATGATGTTGTTGATGTCATCCCACAACTCATCTGGTCTCTAGTCATTATGCCTAATGTATCAAATCTGTTTTTGAAATGATCTCTAAATTCAGGTGGGATATGTTCAAGGCCATAATTTTGCTCTTCTGGATTCGTTTTAATTTTCTTCAGCTTCAGCTTGAACTTGCATACGAGCGATTGATGGTGTATTCCACAGTCTGCCACTGGCCTTGTTTTGATTGATGATATGGAGCTTTTCCACTGTCTCTTTCCACAGATGTAGTCAATTTGATTTCTCTGTGTTCCCTTTGCTGAGGTCCACATGGACCTCGGCAGTGCTGTAGGTATAGATCTCTGTTTATGTGGTAATTGAGGCTTGCATTGGTGAAATGACTTGCTCAAAGTCAGAGTCCAGACTCAAATGCTGGTATTTACACCAAATCCTCACTCTTTTTAAAGAACATGAGTCATTTTTTAACAAAAGAGGATTATGAAATGAACTCTCTTGAGCAATGAATTCTGGATAATTGTAATAATAGTGATGTATCTGAGGGATGTATAAGATGGCGTGAAAATAATTACCTATCATTAAAGCCCAAAGCATTAGTAAATCCGTCAACCCATTCACTCCAAGAAGTGTTCTTCTCTGATAATTATGTTTTCTGTGGGAGGTAAGGGAAATGGAAACTCCTTAAGCAGATAAAATGTTACTATTTCTGGCAGTTTAAGGATGGAGTATCTCTGAGGTCCCAACAGATGGAACCCAGCCCTTGAAGTGCTGCTTAAAACATCTTGGAGACATGTGGATGTCTTGTAGCCATTGAGCTGAGGTAGAGGTGGGGTGGGTGGCAGGGGGTTCTTTGGGGAGAAAGCCTGCTAAATGCTCTTAAGCTAGACCCACTGGAGAGAAGTGGAGGAAGGATGTAGCCATTTCTAAGCCATGGCCAATTCCTTCCCAAACAGGACTAATGCCAAACCAAATGATTTGCTGTGGAATTGATTTGACACATAGTGACCCCATGTGTGTCCATAGGGTTTTTGTTGACTGATTTTTTTATTTCAGAAGTCAATCACTAGGCCTTTATTCTAAGGCATCTCTGCATGCACTTAAACTACCAAGCTTTTGGCTTGCAGCTAAGCACGTTAATGATTTGCAGTACTCCAAATCCACAGATTCTGATGCATAGCCAACCCTGTGGAACAGAGTAGAACTGTTCTTTGGAGTTGCCGAAACTGTTCATCTTTACGGGAGCAGAAAGCAAATCCCTCAGAGCTGCTGTTGAGTTTGAACCATTGACTTTGTTAACTTACTATACCACCAGAGCTCCTTTGCAACACCTAGGGACTCCCAAAACAGGACTAGCTATTAGGAAACTTGGTAGAATGCAGTAGGGTCAAAAGAGTGCTGGAATGGGAGTCTAAAATACCAGTTCTCCTGGCTGTGCCACTAAGCATGTGATCTGGGTTTAGCAATGAGAGATGATTTGTCCAAAGTCACATGCATGGGACAGAGCCAGATTCTCAGGCAGACCACAGGGTCTTAAAGTCCTTCCCAGGTCTGGCATTTTGTGAATCTGATGATGGTAAAGATTTCCTTCAAGTTTGATGCCAGCCTCTGAAACTTCCCTTTCTGACTCTAAAGAATGGGCACATGTTGTTCCCCACCTCCACCATTTGACAGAGACCGTTTTTTAGGAAGGGCCAGTCACAGCTGGCTTCAGTGATAGCTGACCAAGTCCATCTTGGCTCCATGTAAGTGCTGGCTTCCTTTCTCTGCCAAGTCACACTTTGTAAATGGCGCCACTGGGTCAAGGTTTTCAGCAGAGAGCAGTAAGTGGCAGGCCAGCTTGTTCTGATGCTGATCTACAGGGGAAGGGCCTGTGAACTGAGCAAGTGGTTAGAGAAAGGAAACCCCATCATTCTTAGGTGGGGCCTAAAAGTTGTAGTCCAAAGAAGTTCCCACGTGATGCTGACACTACTGGTTTGGGGACCACACTTTGACAACAACTAACAAACAGTATCTGTGGTTAAATACAATGCATACCCCTCCTGATACTAAGGCCCCCACACAGAATTCACCGCACTCACTGCAGTGGAAGCAGGTCTTGTGGAAACTCCTTCCGTTACATTGGATTTCTTCCGCATGGTAGACAGTCTTTTCGCAGGCTCCACATTTGGCTCCTCCGCCCCAGTTTGGCATCTTGAAGACTCAGATTTAGGTGATGTCTAACAAGAGAGAAAACAAATACCTGAAATGTAGTTATCTCCTAAGCCCAGGCTTTTAGACAGTTTTGAGCAAGTCGCTTTGACACTTTGGGACTCTTGTTTCCTCTTTTGGTAAATTTCAACAGCACCTGTCCCTTTGTGCACCACTGGATTCTTAAAAGGAATGAATAAGCTAATCTTGTATTTATAAAATTATACACAAAGATTGTTGCTGCTTTGTTGTTAAGTGCTGTCGAGTTGGTTCAGACTCATAGCGACCCTGGATAGGGTTTCCGAGGAATGGCTGGTGACCTTGTGTTCAAACTGACCTTGTGGTCCAATGTTTGTCCTACAGAGTCATATCATCTAGGGTTTTTAAATTAGTCCCACTAGAAGTGGGAATAATCTAGATAACCTTATTCTGTAGCTCAGTACTTCTCAAATCACCTGGGACATTATTAAAGTATAGATATGATGGATGTAGGATGAGTCTCCATTTCTAAAAGGCTCTAGGCAATACTGAAGCTGCTAAAAGCAGACTGCCTTTTTGATAACAAGACTTTATCTTGTATTTCTGATAGAATTATATAATGTATAAAATCCTTTATTCAGATTTATTCCTAAAGTTCATTGATTTCTTTTTAAGATAACATTATTCAATGAGTCAGTGCCAATTCACAGCAACCCCATGTGTCTCCAGTAGAACTGTGCTTCATAAAGTGTCTGTGGTTGAATTTTTGGAAGCAAATTGCCAGACCTTTCTTCCAAGGTGCCTCTGGGCAAAAGCCTCCAACTTTTTGGTATTAGCTGTTTGTACCACCCAGGGGAGTCCTGGAGACCTGCTTCTACTCTTTACCACATCCCTCAATGTGCATCACGATGAACTACATAGCTTCTCTTTACATCTGTAAAAGGGAGACAGGTGTTCTTTTCCTTACTGCTTCCCAGTGTTCTCTGGAGGACCAAATAGCATGATGTCCAGTAAGGTGCTTGGCAGAGCTCACAGGGCTTGGCAGCGACCAAGGTCTGGGACTGCCAGTCCTCTGACAGGCTTGGAGCACTTTCTGCTATAAAGAGCTGCTGATAGCCACCTCCCTGGGCTGTCAGTGTATCTTCACTCGAGGATTATTGGAAGATGTACTAGCCAAGGAGGGGAGTTAAACAATTCATTTTCTCTTCTTTCTGTGTCTTTGTGTATTTTTAAGTCTGGAGTCAAGTTAACCATTCCCCAGAGCATAATTGAAATAAGCCATTGACACTCAGAAATTTCTGCACTTTCGGCAGCTCCAAGGGGGCTGCATTTTCCCTGGGATCCAGAGTTTTCTAAGATCCTGATTTCTAAGAAGCCTGGTGTGTCATTTTGTCATTGACACCAAACACTATCAGGCTGTTCAGAGTGGCTGCTTCTGATCTTTCTCTTTCCCTTCTGGGAAGCCAGTCACCTTCTTAGAATAGTTGGCAATTAATACTAAGCCCTCCTGGGTCAACTGGTCCGGATTGTATCTCAGAATCCCATAACAAAGACAGTCTTGCTAAGAAACAGAAGGTAACTAGCAAACAGACCACTGACCCTGATACTAGGACTGAAGGAACTCTTCCTATCTAACTATCCCTAAAGAGCTTTTCCTGCATACAGAGACAGTGTGAGGTTAGCCAGGGACAGTCTATCCTTCTCACAGTAGTAGGCTCTTTGTTTTTTATAATTCAGTCACATTTTTTAAAAATTACTAATTTTTTTTTTTTAAAGGAAAACATTTAGGTTGTGGTGCTGTAGGATAAGCACTGGACCGCAAAGTCAATTTGAATTGCAAGGTTGGTGGTCCAAACTTGCCAGCCGCTCCTCGGGAACCCTATACAGGGTCACCATGAGTCAGAATTGACTCAATGACACTTAACAACAATAGTATAGTGAAAAGAGTAATGGATTTTGAATTGAAAAACTTGAACCTGAGTCTGCATTCATTCATTCAATTGTCTATTCATTCATTCATTCATCATGAATTTGTTATTTACCTGTCATGTGTTACGAAGGTCCCTGGGGGGCTACAAACAGTTCTTGCTTGGCTACTAACCTAATGGTTAGTCACCCAATAGCACTGCAGAGCACCTAGCGATCTGCCTCTGTGAAGATTGTGGTAGTTCCGACTCAAAGCGACCCTGTACAGGGTTTCCGTGGCCGCAAATCTTTATGGGAGCAGAAAGCCTCATATTTCTCCCACGGAACAGCTGGTCGTTTCGAACTGCTGACCTTGCAGTTCACAGCCTGATTCGTAACCGCTACGCTACCAGAGCTCCGTTCTGTGAAGGTTACAGCCTAGAAAACCCTGTGAAGCAGTTCTACTCTGTCACATGGATTGGAATCGACTCCATATAATGGGTTTTGTTTTGCTTTTTATCATGTGTTAAGCATTACTCTGGCTGCACAGGAATCAAAGGGAAGAAAAATTTTAATATGTAATTAATGACCCTTGGTTTTGAGAGGCACATGTTAATTATAGCGAGGAAGATAGATAGAAGCCCAAATGTTGTTGCTGTTAAATGCCAAGTCAGTTTCAACTCATAACGCCCCCTGCGTACAGAAGATTGAAATACTGCCCACCCTTCACAATTGTTATGTTTGAGCCTGCTGCTGCCACTGTATCAGTCCATATGATAAATATGGGCTTTTCCTCTTTTTTGTTGACTCTCCACTTTACCAAGCATGATGCCCTTCTCCAGGGAACATCCCTCCTGACAGCATACCCAAAGAATGAGACAGTCTCACAATTCAGACTTCAAAGGAGCATTCAAGCTGTGCTTCTTCCAAGACAGATTTGTTTGTTCTTCTGGTAGAACTTTTAAGATGCTTCTCCAACACCATAACTCAAATACATCAATTCTTCAACAGTCTTCCTTATTCATTGTCTAACTTTCACATACATATGAGGCTGTTGAAGATGCCCTGGCTTGGGCCGGGTGTACCTTAGTATTCAACTGACATATTTGCTCTTGAACACTTTAAAGAGGTCTTGTGCAGCAGATTTGCCAAATGCAATACATTGTTTGATTTTTTTTTTTACTGTTGATTCCAGGAACATTGATTGTGGATCCAAGCAAAATGAAGTATTTGACAACTTCAATCGTTTCTCTATTTATCATGATGTTATTTACTGGGCCACTTGTAAGGAACCCAGATACCAAATAAGAATCTTGTGAGGAGGGCTACAAAAATTCAAAGGAGGGAATGACCAGCTTCATTGAGACCAAGGTTGGAAGCAGGGAGTTTTTAGGTCACAAAAGAAATCATATACAAACAGGGTTTTGAAGTGTGAGTAGGAGTTGTCTAGATAAATAAGAGGGGAAAAGGACATTTAATACAAAGGAAGAGCACACAGAAAGACATAAAGGCCTTAACATCCCCTCAAAGAGTTTATATTATGTATTTTAGACTCCATTTTATTTATAAACTTTTAGGGTTGGACTAGACCTCCTCATTTACCAACAAGGTAAGACATAAAAAGTAAACTTTTGAAAGTGTTTTCTTTGCCAATTTCTTTTCTAAAATATACCCTTCTCTGATTAAAGATGATACGTTCTCTGGAAAAGAGTGGAATCATGTAATTTTGCTCATGTTCATTTTGATCTTGAGTTTCAATATAATATAAAATCGAGAAGAAGTGTATATTTTATCCAGGAACCTGACAGTGATACTTGTGAAATTAACGATATGGAAACTTTCAATGGAAAGAACCCTAGGTCCAATTTCTCATTTTAAATCTTCAGTGGAGATATCATTGGCATTTGCTGCAAGTTAATGGCATTGAGATATGTCTCTTGGAATATATATATATTCACACACACACACACTTTCCCCCCGCAGCAATTGCCTAGACATGATACTTTTCAAAATGAGGATAAGATTACAGGTAATACTTTCCTCACAGAGTAATGTATCCTAGGGCAAGTTGGTTTTAAGTGAGCATAAATATCTGACATATGCCTATGAGGACTTGAAACCCAAAATAGAACTCTTTAAACATTCTATTCGACAGGTGCTCAATTCCATTTCTAAAGATGAAAATGAAGCTATGGAGTTAAACACAGAAGACGTCTCTGATTTCTTCTTCCATGCCCCTATGCCAAAAGGCAGAGTGTTGGAAAGAGCCCTGAATTGGGAGACTTGGGCTGTAATACTTGACGTTGCCATTTATTTCTGTGGGACCTTGAACTTGGGTGGCAAGTGACGACAATTATATCTCCCACACTCTCCTCACAGGACCATTATGAAGATATGAACATATGGTGGAATTTAAAGCAGTATTAAAGCTATTCAGAGGCGAGGCATTCTTACACTTTATTTCAGGTTATTTAAATAGCACCAACCTGCTAATTAAGTCACTGTGATTTGAAGTCACTTTTAGGTGCTGTCTTACACACAACACTATTTTTTTTGGCCTCCTGCATTGCTTTGGAATTCCTATGTCTCAACACTCTTCTAGCCAGTCCCAGAATGTAAGTTTACCCTGGCCAAGGCACCAAGGATGGACCTTTGTTTATCAGCGTTGCCTGGCACAGGCAGGGTCGTTGAAGGTGGGACACCAAATATAGGTTGTCCCGTCACTCAGCTCCATTTGTCACTTGGGTCACAATCTCCATCACACCACCTGGCACTACACTTTGGAGTCCCTGAGATGACTGTGTAGTTAGTCACAGATATAGTCTTGCCTCAGGATCGAAACAGAGACAGATGGGATTTATGAGAATGAAAGAGAATTCAGGTACTCTGCTAACATTAGCTCCAGAGTGGAGAGATCCCAGCCCTTTGGAGACTACTTTGTGTAGACTTTGTAACCAGTAATCTCATGGATGGGATTATGCTGAGGATACACTGGTAGTGGGTAGCATGAGAAAAACACTGGATCAGATACCAGGAGTTTGGAGTTTTAGTTTCATTTCGCCTCTTAAAAACGGTATAACTGAAATGATGAGTGTAAAACTGATGTTCTCCCATGTAAACTATCATTCAATTCACAATAAAAAAA